ACCACTTCTCCAAACACATGAACGTGGTTTGATAATGTGTTTATATATGCATAGGAGTAAGAAGTTACTTTTTATTTTTCACTATATTAAAATAAAATTATATATAGTATATATTCATAATAAATCCTAAATCATCCAAGAAAACTTAGACTCCCAATAAATCCTAATCATATAAAAAATATTAATAATTCTTTATAATATTCCTTTGCTGTCCTGTAAAAACGCTTCGCATCTCCATTTCAATCTGGCATTTTCCCAGAAGCCACAAACTACCACAGAATGCGTGAAGGCTAACGGAGAAAATGATATGAGAGACCTTCGATGAGCTTAGTTCATAGTGGGACCTACTAGATGTCAACAATTCAAGATGTCAACATGTAACATGCACAGCAAGTAGATGCCGAGAATAAGTTGTGCTTATTGTGACACCCCAAAACTGGATGATGTTGTCCTCCCGGCCACCTTGAAATCCCACTTAATGAGGTTTGGATAAGATGGCCCAAATCCAGCTCCAAAACCTCATTAATGGAGGATGTACAATGATGCCCCATACGTTGTCAGCTTGCTGCATCTAATAAATTCAGGGAGTCCGATTTGATGTTGATTTTTCAAAGCAAAAGCAGCACCTTGTATTCACTCCCTGTATATGAAAAACTACTTGACTACCAACCGTACATCCACTTTCTTGGCTCATTTTTTCTGTCTTTAAAAAATGGCAACCCCAGAACAATCCTCGCATTAGAACTCATAAGACAACATCTTCTCCGATATGAGAATGTTTAGAAGTATTGTAGTGATTATTTTTTATTTTTTTTATTTTAAAATAATATTTTATTATTATTTTAAATTTTTTAACATCAATACATTAAAATAATGTTAAAATGTAAAAAATATATTAATTTAAAATAAAAATATATAATAAAATTTAATTTTTTTGAAAATACTTTCAAAATATAATGCCAAATACTTGTCATATCCACAGATGAGTTCATCAATAATCTTGATGTAAGCACGTGGCTTTCAAATACTTCTTATCTTTACATTTCATTTTTATAGTCACTTCTGACACGTCTGGTTTCTTGCATTCATAGCGAATAACTCGGCTCATTTTGCTAGTCTCGTCCTTTAGCATCTTATTGATGTCAACATCATCTTTGGTAACCTTGAACTCATAAAAAATAAGAAACACTAAAAAAAAAAAAATCTTTGCATTAGATTTATAATAAAAATTAGATTTATGAAACATACTAATATGAAAATGTATAAAAAATAATTTCAACCTTTTTATATAGCTAAAAGGCTTGTATATAACAAAAAAATAACAAATTAATTGCAATTGACCTAAGAATTGAAGATTGGGGAAACCAAGGACTAAAATGCAAAAAGAAGCAGAATTAATTAAGGGGTCCATTCCAATTTGCTGAGGGGAAAATGAAACAAATTAAGTTAGAAAAGACCAAAATTAATCAAAAATAAAATAATTGAAAGAGCATGAACAAAAGTAAAAAAAAGAAGTAAGAATGGAAGGCATTGATGTGAACTTAGCAGTTTGAAAATGACATCATTTCTAACTTAAAATTCAAAATTCTATATTTTAATTTTTGTTTATTTATTGAAAAATAGTTTTTTTAAAAGTAAATTGTTAAAAGTGAATTATTTTTTAATATTTAGTAGTATAATGAAAAATAAATTGAAAAATATTTTTTTAGTGTTCGGTTATATTATAAAAAATAAACTGAAAAATAACTTATTAATATTTTATTTTTTCAAGTTTATTAAAATAATAAGGAACAAATCTTACAAATTAAAAAGTTGAATGAGAATGAAATTGAAAAAAATATAATTTCATAAATTATCTCAAATAAAATGAATAATAATTAAAATAATAAAGATCAAATCTAACACATAAAAAAAAATTAAAAGATGAAGAAATTAAAATAATTATAATTATAATTTCATAAATTATTTCAAATAAAATAAGTAATAATCAAAAGAATGAGGACTAGATTTGACAGATAAAAAATTTCAATTAAAAAATAAAAAAAGTAAATAGTAATTATAAAAATAAAAATAAAAATTAATATAAAAATTAAACTATGGGATGAAATTGAAAAACAATATTCAAAATAAAATACACGCATATAACAATTAAAAGTTTGAGAATCAAATCTGATATAATTAATAAATAATATGATATTTCTAAATTTTTCATAACTTTCAGAAAGTTTTTTCCACCCAAAATAATTTTTTTTTAGAAATTAAACTAAAATTTTTAATTAAAAAATATATTCTATTGACTAATTTTTTTTTAATGATAAATAAATATAATAAAATTTGAAAAGTAAAAAACCACTTTCTATCTGACAAAATCCCCAAAGCAAAAAATAATGGCGTTTCACATTAAATGAAACCGCTTGTGATTTAGTAGGAGGAGGAAGAACAAGACTACGCTGAAGAGACAAAACGACTCCGTTTTGCTCTAAATTCAGTAGGCTTCTAAGCTTAAAACACGCTGGGAATAGCTGATCACCCAGCGAACTTTGGCCCCAATTTCCGTCCATAATCGACTCTCTCCCGAGGTAACATCACGTGGTATGTGCTCTCTTTCATGCAGGATACAACCTTGAAGCATCGAATCCTGTTTTCATGCCTTGGTTCTTTCCCTCGAATCAAAGCCATAGGGTAACAGTCGCCAGCTTGAAAAACCCAGCACTCATCTAGTTTTCAGCCCATGGTATTTCTTTTATCAGAATTAATAAAATTCTAAACTCTATTATAATAATTTATCCTTTACTATTCTTAGGATGAATTCCAATATATCCATCATTCATTACTTTTATTAAATTTATAAAAATTAATAATGACAGCATGTGTTATTAAATACATTAACTAACTAAATTTACAAAAATACTATTTACCTCAAATTTATTCAATCTATTTTTATATTTTTTTAATTTATTATCAATTATCTATATAAATAAAAATTTATACCCATTTATCATGAAATTACAACTTGACAATAAAATTAATAAAATATAAAATAGACACATTAAATAAATTATTATTTATTTTATCACCAGACACTTAAGTTGGTAATTCAACATAAGTGTCAATAATTTATAAACAAATATAATTTTATAAAATCTAAAACAAACCATAACATATACAAATCATAAATCCATACAATAAGTTTGTTTGATAAAAAAAAAACTATAAAACAAGTAAACACAAAAAAAAATACATATATTGCAAAAATATATATAAAAAATTAATATTTTAAAATTATGTTTAAATAAAAAAAGAGATAGATTTGCTTACTTAGGACTTGTTTTGGATTGTGGTAGCAATTGTGATTTAAAGTGTTTTTTGCTTAAAAATACTTCAAAATGATATTTTATTATTTTTTAAAAATTATTTTTAAAATCAGTATATCAAAACAATCTAAAAACATAAAAAAATAATTTTTAGCAAAAAGGAAATTTTTTTTTGAATTTTGAGGAAACGCGGTTTCAACCGTGTTCTTAAATGTGCATCTTTAATAAAATTTGAATTAAAATATGGATGCCGACAAATCAAGTGTTGCGATGACTCAAAAAATTATGGAAGATTAAATTGTGTTGAGATTAAAAGGGGTAAAGATGGTTGTTTTGTTGCAGAGAGAACTTTTACAAGGAAGATGTAGAAATATGAGAGTGGGAGAGGAAGGCCGAGCACTAGGTCATAAATTAAATCATTCCAATGGTTACTCCGTTGACAATTCTTTTGATATAAATGTCATGTCATTGTACGATTTATCTTTTTGAATCTCATTATAATATCATTTATGATGTCATCGATATATCTCGATAAAATTTTTTTATTGAAATATTTATGAATATATTGTATTGTCGATCTAATTTTGTTAGTGACTTTATATATATATATATATATATATATATATATATATATATATATATCTTCCTAATTTTTTACTGTAAGCTTTGAAATCAAATATATGTTTACATCTCCAAGCTTCCAATGGGATGTCCATATGAAGTTACACGATCATTGATACTAATAATGTAATGTAAGCAATGGAAAATGTCTTTTTATTCGCCTGGGTTTCTAGCATTCATAGCAAATAATGTGGCCCGTTTCGCTAGTCTCATCCATTATTATCTTTGTAGTTACACCTTCTAGGAAATTTCTTTTGTAGAAAACACTTTTGAACCTCACAATATGAGCGACATCTTCATCATCATCTTGATTATCATCATTTTGTAAAGTTCGAGCGCAATGCCTTTCTTACTGATGTCAACATCACCTTTGGTAACCTTGAACTCATAAAAAATAAGAAACCCTATAAGCCAAGTATCTTCAAAATATTTGATTCTTTAATGGCCATCACTGTAAGATCCCAAGGTCTTGGTAAAGACCTCAATATCTTGCTCACCATATCAGGTTATTTGATGTTTCTTCTAATGTTTTTATAAACCATTCCCTTTAATGGTCATAAACCTTGTGCTCATCTTTTTTATGCTTTCATAAGGATCCTTCTTGAACATCTCAAAATCAAATATGAGAGTATTTATTTTAGATTTCTAACTTGAGTTGTTCCTTCATGAGAAACTTGTCCAAAACAACAACAAATACACCAAGATTATAACTGTTTCTCATAAATATAAAAAATATACTTTGTAATATTCATCTTAATATTTCATAATTGTAATAGTCTAGTTGTAGAATATTAGTTTTATTTCATTCAGAAAATGTTTTTCCCTTATCGAACTGGCAGTACCTCCTAGCATGGGGTTTTACACCACCATTAGCATGAAGCCATGCTTAGTATTTCTGTTTCACCAGCAAACATGGATGCTATTCATCTCTCACTCCTTTTCCACCATCAAAGTCATTAGAGTGAGTGTGCCTAACTTCATGCTCATAAGTTTTGAAAAAACTCTAGTAGGTTCCCTAGTACCCAGTCACTTTGCTTGAGATTTCTTTGTATGAAAGATAGTTTATAAAGGCTGAATTAGCCATGTATTTTAAAAGCAATTTCATCACACAAGTCTTCATTTTTTTTGTTCTTCCAAGAAAACGTTTGCATGTAGTAGCAGTATATTATGTTCCTAGGCCCTTTAACCTGCATTCAAATAATGAAATGCAGTTCATCTTGTTCCTCATGTATGAATAAAAAAGGAGAAGAGAAACAGAAAACATGAAGGGAAACCTAAGGCTTTCTCGTAGGATACCGGGACATTTTTGAAGTGTGCATTGCGCAACATGAAGTCTACTGACACACAAACCTGTCAGTGGCTAAAAACTGGTCTTCTCTGCATTTTCATTCTGCTTTTATAAATTCTTGCAAGTCAGGATGCATGCATATAGCTAGTTGTTTTTCGCATTTTTTTTTTAAAAAAAAACTGTCTCCAAACTTGCATCTTCATGATCTGCAAAACAGAGCAGAGGAATTATAGGTTCTTAGTTTGCTAAAAACATGAGAGTTCAATGTTTAATCAAGAAGAAAATGTGTTTCTGCACCGTGAAGATCTGGCTTTTTAAAACTTTTAATTCAATTCTATTTAAGAGAAACATAGGTGAAAAAAAATGTATACTAAAAGTTAGCTCACTGGAATTTCACCTTTCGCCATGAATGCCGTGAATGATCTTTACTAGAAACTCGCCCTTCGGTGGTTGTAGGTTTCATTTGTGCTTAGTTTAATGTCTGCGTTTCTCGAGGCCAAAGAATGCAGGCAAATCACGAGTTTTTATTTCCCTGCAAATTAACTCTTTTCCTTCACTCCTTCTCTGCAAGTTGTAAAAATGTACCAATTTAACCATCTAGGTGGTGACCAAGTGGTAAAGACTTGGGATCAAGGGGTTTGCTTCCTCTGTGGTCTCAGGTTCGAGTTCTTGGTTGCTCATATGATGGCCACTGGAGGCTTACATGGTCGTTAACTTCAAGGCCCGTGGGATTAGTCGTGGTGCGCGCAAGCTGACCCGGACACCCACGTTAATCTAAAAAAAATATACCAATTAATAACTATCTAACCCATTGCAAACGAAACTAAAATTCCTTGTTAAAATTAGTAATAGAAAATATTAAATGCAGTCATTGCTGATTTTTCAGCAATGAAAATTCTGTTATTTGCGGTAAGCATCGGATAATTTAATACTCACAAATCATCAATAAATAACCTATTGCATATACATCAGCAACGGAATAATTTAGTGCTCATTTTATAATTCAATAATAGATTTTTCATTGCTGATTGATAAATTATTTACAATTATTAACAAAAAATCCGTTGCTAATTATATAATTTTTATTAAATTAATTTATATTTTGAAATAAATGGAATAAAAATAAAATTCATAATATAATTAAAAGATTTAGTTAAAATTACATTAATACAAATAAGTAAAAATACAATAAAAAGATATAATCATGGTATTTTTTGTGGAGACGAACCATGATATTGTGAATCAATGTAAAATGAATCAGAATATAGTAATCGAGGTATAGATCAATAAATTAATGGAGATGTGAGACCCATAGGTATCATTATCTACATAGCCATATATAGAGGTATTGATAGGCCTATAGATGCTGACATATCTTTGTAAATATTTGATGTCCTACCATGGTATCCAAAATTGTTCATAAGATATTCTTTCATGGAATCTATCTCTCGTTTCATTTCAAAAATAAAATCATCTATTTTTTTTTTATCTCCTTTTGTAATGTTCAATAAGATGAACTAGAAAATGTGACTTTACCGAATATGAATGTAATGAAGAACTTGTATTAACTATAGATTTTGGCATATGAGATGCACCATATACCCTACCCTTTATAATTTCTCCTGAAACAATACACCAAGCTGCCCTATCAAATGAAGGATAATTTTCCTGATTAGTTTTATACTTTGAAATTATTTCCTTCTTATAATTTTTCTACAAATAAAATACATGCATTAATAAATTTATTTGAACGTTAAATGATATTTAAGTTAAATAAATAAATAAATAAAAATACATGTAATCACTTTTTTAGACTTCTTGTTTATGAAGATGTCAGACTATTTAGAATTTTGATACTAAGCCAAAAAGATACTATTCCATGGAGGTTCTTTTCCACTAGCTTGCTCTTGCCTTCAAGATTAATAAATATTATAAAAGATAAATATAATAATTTTAATTTATTATCTTAAGAAAAAGAAATCCTTACCATATTAGCTCAATATGATGCAAATAACATTATTTCTCTAGAATGAATAGTTATTTTACCATCTGTTTTGGTTAATTGATTCCTTTTTGTAGATTCTAACCTTCTTTAAAATTTAAGGGTAAACCAAATATTTTTGATTATTTGATTTTAGTTGTTATTGTTTATCCAAACAAGATCTTTATCAAAACAATCTATAATATTTATAATGTTTTTATTTGACATGATTTTCTTTTAAGATCATGTTAATTATTGATTCAAAACAGGACTAGTCATATTTTCTCAAATACTATAAATAATAAAGTCATCTTAATTCATCTTTTTCAAGAAAGGTATTTTTTTCTATCAAATAATATACAAGTAAAAAGAGTGCACAACATTTTAAAGTATAAAAATAATTAATCATATTATGTTATCTTGTTGAGAATATGAATATTATGTATTGGGACCAAACAAGAGACACCTTGATTGTAATAACTAAAAAAAATAAAATATTATGTTCAGCTCCAAAACTTGGCTTACAGTGTTCCAGCAGAGGTACGAGTGTCAAGTCCGCTGATTTTATTAAAATGCCGTGTTATATTTATTATAGTGAGGGTTTTTCCTCCTGGAGTTCAAGCTGTATCAGAGGCAACAAATTAAGATGCTGCAACATCACTCTTCCTTAGTGCACTTGCTCCCATTATCATTTGCTGGGCACAATTTTTCAATTAACTAACTTCAACTGCATGTCATGAACAAACCATAAGCTCTCGTGCTAGATATTGTGAAACCATTCACCAATATTAAAATATTGATAATGCATTAACCCTCCCATAATCATGTTAAGGAGGATATGTACTCTCAAAATAAATATATAATACTTCTTTGAATTATAATATACATGTTGATGAAACGTGTATTCTTTGTTATTAAGCTTGGATGAAATTTGAAATAATCCGGATAAGATGCACCAGTTACTCCTAAAATCTAATATGGGATCTTCATCAAGGCATGCTAAAAACCAGAAAAAATATATGCATTATCAACAATAATAAATATTATGGAAAAAGCTCATTCATCCTAGGTCTATATATTCAGTAATTGGTCCAGTAGTTCTTCTTCATTGCCTTGACAGGTATGATATTCATGCAAAGGTGGACATTAATTCCCACAATAATTATTGTATTTTCTTTTTGGAAGAATACAATTTGCTAAAGGAGTTCATATGCAATAATTTATGAAGAAAGAATAAACCTAATCACCAGCAATCCAGAGAATATACGCAGATTTATAGCAGATAAAGAAGAATCTTAGGTTCATGGAAGGAAATCTCCAAACAGATGGTGTCTTTAACCACTACCACCACTTTTAGCAAGTCAGAACTTACCAAAAATACTCGGAAAAAAGACAAAATGCATAAAAACTGAATGGAAAGGGAACAGAGAAGAGAATGAAGAAACAAGTCAACTAGACTGTTGTATCATTGTTGACAGTAGTGATAAATTGACTGTACACAACTGAAAGCAACCAAGCTCTCTAATTGTCTTGGACAAATGATGATCTAGGTCGAAGGCACAACTCCAAACTGGCAAAATCATACGTATTGAAAAGGATAGCAAAGAAATGAAAGTCACTGATGGAACACGCTTATGAAGTTACAACAAGAAGGCCTATGAAAACAGAGGAAGTCTCGGCAACTAGAGAAAGTGTGTGACAGTGCTCACAGAAGCACAACTTTGAGAGTATTCACAGAAGCACAAGATTAATATTTGGTGCAGATGAGAATTGCAACTCCGAAAGGCCTAAAACAGTAGAGAATTATCCTAATTCCACAACTATATTGGAGTTTCGGGTATTAGACCGAAGCAGAACATCTGCAGTCTTTACAGGGAAGGCTGGAAGTAAAACACCTGTTTGCCTCTAAAGAATAGCAATCATACATCAATTTTTGCTTCCAATTTTTGCCTCCCAAGGTTTCATCATGTTTTGATAGGAACAACTAAGGCTAAACAAAAGTCTACAATCAAGCCATCACTACACTAGTCAAAGACGCCACCATGAAAACCAAATAAACTGCATTTCGCCCCTACACATTCCGGCATCTTTGAAAAGAAGATGATACAAAAAAGATACATAAAAGATAGCTTTAAAAACATGAGGTAGAAGAGTACATGTCCTCCATGTATGTTCCATTTCGGTTCTGTGTTTTTAAGTTACAACACCAAATTAGGCTTGGTTATCGCTTAATCTGAATGTTGAATACGAAAAAAGTAATTCTATATGCTGTCCTTGAATACAAATTTTGTTTAAAAGCTCAATATGTTTGAAAATGAACACCCAATAGCTTTGCTATAAACTATCACTTTGTTATGTCTATCACCAGCAGAAAACCAGCCAAGCTCCACAATTATAGCAAATAAGGAAGGCAAAATTGTTTCCCTTGTTCGTGATGTATGTACACATATATCATGGAAGAAGCATACATGGATAGAAGCTAAGCATAAAAAACAAAAACAGCATGAAGTAATTAGTGGTGTGGCAATCATGTCTCTCTACCTGGATCTGAAATTGTAGCATTATAACTTTTCTTTATTTCCCTCAACTTTGCTGCTATCCTGCTTAGATATGAACTCTGAAATAAACAGTAAGCATAGTTCAATCATTTTCAGATTAACCATGCCTTGCACTACAGAAAACAGAAATGGAAGAAGAACGAACCTAGGCTTCAAGTTTATTAGGAATGGTCTCAAAGGCCGATGGAAATGATATGTGTAATCCGGATTGGCTTTGACCAGAACTTGCAACCTCTGTCGATGGAAATCCTTCAGTTTTTCTTGTTTCACATCTGGTCCATAACACCCACTTGAATCTAATAACACAAAAATGACATTGAAAGCCTAAACTTGTCAAAACTTATCCAGAAAAGCTTTAGATAAATAAGTATGATTTATTTCATTATATATCATCATAAGGCTACAAAACATGTCATGTAAAAGGTGCTCTTTATTTATCTAATAACCATTATTTAGTATTATGAGAAAATAATATGAAACCATCCACACATCTAATAAAAATAATTCATTATATGTATAAAAATATAATTAACTTGTGATACTTATTATTATCATCCATCTTAACTATATTGTTATTGTTGTCGTCGTCATCATCTTCTTCTGCAACCCTTTCATCTTCTTTTTCTCAATTTGTATTAATCGAAGCAATTCATGTTGACTGGTTTCTTCATAATAAGATGATTCGACAAGTATATTAAGATCATCAAGTGTTCGAGTGGGAAAGACATAACATGATTGAGAAATATCATTCGATTGATCAACATTATATGATATCACATTGTTAGCATCTTCAATAAATTCACTCATATCAATATTATAGCGACTTCTAGTAGTTATCTTAATAATCATCCACTATTCCAAGAATTTATTATCAGGTGGATATGTATAGTAGACTTGTTGATATTGTTACGTTAACACGAAATCTTCAATTCTATATAGTCGAGATGGATACTTGATTTCAACAAAACCATTTGAATGATGCACTCTAATCCCTTGTTTTATATTATACCAATTACATTTAAATATAAATAACTTGCATTTACTTCCCAAATGTTTTAGCCAAACAACTTCTTTAAGCATTCCATAACAATCACATTGATTATCATTATAGTGACTTCCTTTCATACAAACTCCACTATTTATTTTCTTTTTAAATCAACCATAACTTTGAGTATGAAATTTAAAACCATTCACATAATATTCATTATAACATTTGATCGAAGTTGAAGGGTCATAACAAGTCCAAAGAGTTGATTTTGAATTCAATTAGATTGGTATTCCACATAGTTTAATAATTAACTCCACAAGAAATATTGTTTTAAAAAGGATTTGTAATTTTTTTAAAGTAACTAATTGAACTAAAATATAAATTAATTTTATGAAAATACTTACATTATTTTTTAACCAATTTGGAAAGTTCTCTTTGTATAATTTTTCAATTTCAACATCATTCACATGTAGTTGTTGTGACTTTAACTCTTGGCAACATTGCCTAAAATTTTAAAATATTAAAGTTAATAATATATTATTATAAATTAAGTACAAAATAATATTTCATACATACTCTAAATAAGGCTTGAATTCTTTACAATTGAATATCACATTATATGCAATCTGCATTTCAACAAGTGATAGCTATCTTCTATAAAATCTTCTAGACTTTTAAAGCCACCATCATCATTTTGTGAACGTGATTCCAAAATGTTTGCATGTCATCACCAAAATAATGAGATGCAAAATTGGTAATTTCATCATTTAAGTATGCTTCACACATGAAACCCTCAACTTTAGCTTTATTAGTCACTTTCTTCTTCAAATAAAACATAAATATATCATTTCTATCAGTAGGTTTATTTTTTAAAATAAAATTGATATAGTGTGAAAACATACCGTTTAAATGGATACATCTATCGATATTGAATAGGTCCACCAACTTTTGCCTCATAAGGTAAATATTTCGTCAAGTGTTCTAGAGAGTCAAAAAAGGATAAAGAAAAAATCCTTTTAAGTTTGCAAATTATTTCAATTATATTCATCTGCATTAACTTCATATGTTGGACAATTAAATTTGTAGTACAAATATCTTGAAAAAATGTAGATAGTTTAGTTAATACCTCCCATAGTAGCCTAGGTAAGTAAGGTAAGAAACTAGTTGGAAGAAGTAATTGAAGGAAAAGATGACAATCATGACTCTTCATCCCCGAAACCTTACATTATACCTCTTTCACACATCATGAAATGTTTGAAGCATAACTATTAAGAAATGATAGTTCCTTCATCCATGACAAAAATTATTGTTGTTGTTATTTCTTGTTGCTAATGTAAATTTGGCTTCTTATAATACAACTGAATATCCAGCCTAATCTTTAAATTATCCTTATTTTTATTAGGAAAATTCATTATTGTATAAAAAATATTGTCAAATTTTTTTTTCTCAATGTGCATGACATCAATATTATGACAAATCAAATTTGTATGCCAATATAGAAGCTTCTAGAAAATGCTCTTCTTCACCCAATTGTGTTTAACACCAAAGTTAGGAATTTTATCATTATATGAGGAACTTCTATTATGTCCCTTAGTAAACTTTGACACTTCGTTTAACATTTTCAAACCAGATGGACAAGGTAAATGAGAGAGCCTTTCAATTACTTCTTTCAAAAACTTATCTGATTGATATCTATAT